TTCCTTTCTTAGATCCCTTTGTCACATAAATTTCTCCCCTATCCAGAAACAGAAGCATACAGCCTTCTCTGATGCGTGTCAACTTTGACTTGAAACGTCATAACTAATGATCAATAGTTTTTTGAATAATTAGAATACCCAAATTGCAAACACACAGACTGTAAATAATTGTAAAAGGTTTGCCTATAAACACAAAGAGAAAAACATTAATAAACGAAAGACTATTAATATTTAATATTAATGTAACATATTAATGTTTTATTTAATTTTATACATTTTATTAATTACACTGTAATTGTTCCATTTTAATGTGTCAGTGTAAAAAATTCAGTTATATGCTAATTAAGTTATATCTATATTTTGAAGAGCCTGGTCATGCCTTGATTTGTCCAGCCTTGCCGTTTTTCGAGATGCTATGACCCAGTCATCTTGTGATTTGTTTTTCTGTCTGTTTTTATTGTTTGTTTGTGATACGGTCTTTGTGTCTTAATTAGGAACAAGATTTGTTCTGGACACTGATGAAAAGGGGCAATATAGGAGGACTAAAAAGACTAAAGGAGGAATATAGGGAGAGTTAAAAACAGCCAATAATATTGTCAGAGACAAACACAGACCAGAAGAACATGGGCACAGAGAGTGAAGGTGACCCTTAGGTCTCTGCACGGGGCACAAGAGGTGTGTATACAGTGAAATCACCAACCGGTAAATTTTGTCGTGTTGCGTCCATGGTGGGGTTGGTACATTTCACAGACTGGGGGCCTAAACAGATTTCTTGGGGGGTTCAAATTTCTAATTTTAGTACTTTGGATATGTGTCTGTCTGTGGCAAACAAATTTTAGGGGGTAGACGGTGGGGGGTGTTAGAAAACCATAATATAATGTGCCTGTTTTGGTGGATGGCTACTTTCTTTTTCACTCTTATTATATTAATAATGAGATAAGAATCTCTGCACTACATGATAACAGAGCTAGAGACGGAGGTAAGAGAAGCACTTCATGAACTAAGTCGACAGAAGAATATTGCTGTGTTTTTACTGCAGGAGGCGCACAGTGATGTTAAAAATGAGCTTGATTGGTTGCAATATTAAGCAACAATACAGCACTGGGGGTGTGTGGCTATTTTATTCTTAAAGTCCATTATCCCACAAAGAGGAACAAAGAATGAAAGGAATGATTCTACTGTAAATGTAATGGCTTAAATTGAGGTGGAAGTGTTTTTATTTTTTTATCCTAGTTTATGTGCCAGTATGGCAAGAAGGGAGAGAATAACGAGCACAGTACTTGACACTAATAATGAATGTTTAATATTGGAGGACGAACTTCTATTGTACAGAAGATAATATGGATAGGAATCATCTCTAACCTGATGCTGACTGTCCTTTCAAATTGCATCATTTGACTGCTTTTAGATCTTTTATTTTGTTTGCTTCTCCAATTATTCAACAGTTGAATGCACTCAGTAAGTGATTAATGAAACCAAAGAGTGAATATTGACTTTTTACTTTGGATAATTAAATGATGTTAATATGAAAGCCCTACAGTTTTTGGGAATATTTAAAAAAAATGAAAGTCAAATTTCTCATTAGAGCAATATGGGATATAGGAATGATACAAATTAAACGGTTTTCTCAACAACATTTTCTGTGTCACAAAAGCCCGGCATAGACGTATAAAAGGAAACGTACAGTACAGTTACAAGGATAGAGGGATGTGATCATTGATGAGCTTTGTCTTCATTCTTAATCGCAGCATATCCCTCCCTTTTAGAAAGCATGTCCACTCTTCTCTGTTTTCGGTAATATTAGTACCCGGGGGGGTGGG